TCTGCGAAAGTGTCACAGAGCATCAATTAAGCAAGTAGAAATGCCACAGAAAACATTTGATGTACACTAATTATTGCGACCGAACTAGTTTCCTGCTTATTTTCTCTTTATAATATTACAAATGTTGCACACGTGCTAATATTATTTATTTCATCTTTCCATCTTTGTCAATTCTCCTCAGCCTTATGCATGCAAAATAAATAATAATAAAATACTTTTTTTGCTACTGATGCCGCGCTTTAAGTAGCACATTTTCATTATTTTTAAATAAAAATCTAATAAGTAGTTCGAGAGGGTTTTGCGGTTACTCTTAATTGCTTTTCAGCTTTTTGAAGTCTTCATATATATATAAAATTTCTTTATGATCAGTGTTGCATTCTGGCTATTTGTCTGGATCAGATAAATTCTGAGACAGAAATTTCTTCATAAAATCGATTCTACATGTAGAAAGAAAAAAACCATCTACATGTAGATTGTGTCTACATGTAGAATCTGTCTACATGTAGATTTAATGTAGATGTCTACGATTCTACATTCTTCTCTGATGTAGACCTGGAAAAAATGTAGAATTATAGACATCTACATCGAATCTACATGTAGACAGATTCTACATGTAGACACAATCTACATGTAGATGGTTTTTTTCTTTCTACATGTAGAATCGATCTTTATGAAGAAAGTTTCTTAGCTAGACAAAAACTATTGAAGAATCTACATTCTTCATCTATTGTAGACATCTACATTTGCAACACTGTTTATGATAAATAAATATGCGTCTGTAAGAGATGAAAAGCAATTTTGAATGAAAGCCAAAATGTCGTGTGACTTAGAAAAATGAATTTGTGTGATAGATAAATAATTAAATTAAATTAAATTAAATTCCCTCTCAATCGCTTTGTTATGAAATTCTTATGGAAACAATGACTATAATGTCGTAAATTTCCTTTAATTGTTAAACAAAGTCATAAAAAATTTTATATAGAAATTTATACGATTCACTTACAGAGTTGTACAGATGGACATGAAGATAATGACATAAGCCACAATTTTACTGAAGAATGACATAGTTTAATGTATTGCAGATCTATTCAAGTGAATTAATTAGTAGTCACTGTATATGACTACAATTCAATTGAAGATTTCAAATCCCAATTTCTTACAAAATCATGATATAAGATAAATTTCACCGCAAAATGATAAACAATTATTGTTGGCAGCAACAAAGTTTCTTCTACGAATAAATTTCTCTTTCAACTCTGTCTCACATCATTTACGAGGATGATAATTAATGTGAATGTTTGTGATGCGGTGAAGAAAAAAATTAAGAAGAAATATTTGTTTAAATACTAAAGCAGTGAACTTGTCGAAAAATTTCTGTCAAATAATCATTTCCAATGAATTATGATGAATATTTTCTGCGTATCTGTTTGAAGACATGCAAAAGGTGCTGGGATTTTAATTGTTATCTGTTGACTGCTAGTTTTAATGAGACAATAATAATTGATAAATGAAGATAGACAGATGAAATAGAACTGTTGAAAAAATGTAGTTGAAATTTTATGGGGTCTTTCATAAATGATGTCCAATGCTGAATAGAGTTTTAACTCCATCGTTATATATTTTCTGAATTTTAAGGATTTAAAAATTATTTCATTAATTGCTACGTACCTAAAACAGTGAATGACCCCCCTCCTTCTCGAAAAAAAATCAAAGAAACAAATCAGAGACGAGAAAAAAAAAGTCGACGGCATGTAGAAAAATTCATGCGAATGAAGAAAAAGAAAAAACTTAAGAAGAAAAGTTTTAAAAAAAATTTCCCAAAGAAAAAAAAAACGTAATCGTTCGTTCAATTTGCGTTAACTCAAGTGAATCATTCTCATATATAATTTCGTATCTTATTCCCCATCATCATTCGCACTTTAAGTATAAAACAAAATAAAAAAAATATATTAAATTTCCAAGTAACTGCTTTAAAAACAGATCGTTAAAGTCATGTCACGATACATATGAAAAATATCATTGTCGTTCATTTTTCATGATATACAGCCAGAATAAAATAATATCAGACATTGGAAGACAAATTGTCTCTTGTTGGGGATTTTAAATTAAAAACAATTTCTTTCCTTCTTCACTACTCAAATCCGTGTGACGTAATTTTCTCATTTTCTTTTCGAGGTTTTTATGATGAAAAATTACCAAGCGAATCGGAAAAATGAAGCAATCAGAAAAAGCCGATTATTTCATGCTTAATTGGAAAAATGAAACGCGTTTTAATAGCTTTATCAATTCAATCTTAACAAATTAATAAACTGCAGTTTGAGATTTTATTTGTTGCAACTTTTATTGTTATAATTTTGTACTGATAAACTAGGCAAACATAATAGACATGCCATGAAACATTGTTTACTGTGGTTTCAAACCAAAAACTTTATGTTGAGTACCGTGTCAGAAGGAGGTGAATCTAGGAAGTATTCAAATTGATAACAAATCTGTCTTCTAAAATTGTCAGTTTAATTTAAGCTGGATTTAGTTTGGCACTGTCCATGACAATAAAACTTAAAGTAATTAATTTCCCAAAAATTATGTGGCTACAATCAGACAGTAAAAAAGGTTGTGAATCACGCTAATCCAGCGAGAAAACAAGAAAAATAAGAAGATAAAATAAAAATGAAAAGGAAGGATGATGTCACATTTAATAAAGATGAAGCTTACTGGGTCAGTGAACTACTCATTTATTTATTCATTCACATTAAAATCGGAATGAATGGGGAAAATTCACGGAAGTGATTAATGCAAAATAATAAATACAATTATTTGTTGACTTAGTTCTAAGAGATTATTCAACACAAAAAACTGAGAATGTGAAAATCGTCAATTGGGACATTTGGGTCAATCGCACATGTACTACATTTTTTCTATTGTTTTGTGTACTTTATGGCTCATTTGCAGTGTGTTTTCAGTTTTACTTTGAGACAATCTGTATACATTTGGAGGTGTCGATTCGAACAAGTGAGGCGAATTCCTCGTATTTTCATTCATTAATTGCTTTAAAAAAATGTTTGTTCTATTCCTTTTGTATGCATTAAAAATAGCACAAATTTAATGACTTAAATAATGTTGACCATGAAACAGTGATATAAATAAAGTGCTCAAAACAAATTTTCAATTCATGACCTCCTTTCCAAACCAATATCAAGAAAAACATAAGACTTTGTATACATAAGTAAGTTTGGCAATAAGGAACTAAAATTTGATTATAAACATGAAGAACCTTCTAAGGTTAGACTCATTACCATCCTTCTTTTCAACATAAACGCAATAAAGATTGAAGCGATTACAAAATAAATGAAAAACCATTTATTATATTTAAATCAAGTAGGAATGCTTAAATTACTTGATTTCTATCATCATTTACTTTTTTACACATTGATGAATTCAGCGTACTTTGTGGATTTGTTTGGTTTTGTAAAATATTAGATGAGGAGCATGTCACGCAAGGTGTGCATGATACCGTGAACGACAAAAAAATTTATCATTTGAAAAGTAATTACTTTTGGTTTCGGGGGTTGCTTATTATAACGGTCTGGAGCTGTGTGACAATTCCTTGTCATTTTTATTTTGGTAAAGAGAACAAATGGATCTTAATAGTCCATTTTGTGGTTGATTTTTAATTCATTTGCATGTTTGTCTGCACGACAAGAATATGAAGAGCACCAAATTTATTCCCTATATCCTCATAAATAATAAATAAACAAACAGATTTTTCGTCGGTGACAATTTTAGAAAGGAGTTTTTTGAAAAATTATGACAAGAGCTTTAAATCGTATAAACATTAGAATTAGGGGAGACAGATACAAATTTAAAAACTCTTGGGATGGATTTTTGCGTATTAGCTGAAATTTATGCTGTATTTATTTATAAAAGTATGCCTTACAAATATTGAGATTTGATAGGATTTTAAAGCATGGAAAGAAGTGTTGATAAATTGAGAACGTTGCGGAAATAATAAAATATTTTATTGAAAAATATTAATACAGAAAACGGAAGTGTTGAAATCTTCTCGCATTGAAGGTTGTTTTGGACTATAAATCCATAAAAATGTATCATTTATTGGGATATTGGCTGACAAATCTACAAAATAATTCAATCTTGAAAAGATTTATACTAAATCATATCCAATGAATCATTGTGATGATCCTTAACAATGTGAATTATAAGCTGAATATTATACTGAACCCTAAACCTAGAAAAATAAATCTCATTTGAATTTGCCTCATATTGAGAAAGTGAATTGCTTATAGTCAATGAATAAATTATTCTTGTGGAATTTCCTTTTGTAAATTCCTCTTCCACTTTCTTATTTTCATAGTAAAATATTGCATGCAATATCCTTCGTTTTATGCTCTTTTCCTTTCATTTTTCTATTCCTTCCGTTCATTCATAAATTTTAATACTTTTATTTTTATTATTTCTTTTCGCTATGTACACGTATCATATGCTCATAAACATACATGTCTACTTGTCGCACATATTAAAATTCTTCAAAAGCCTTCTTTGTTAAAGGTGCCACTTGTCGTCTTCGCTTATGCAAACGCACATTTTAAATGGCAGAATTGGGTTAATGTTTGCCTCTCTCTTTTCCCTTTGAAATCATACATTTTCATTTCTATTCATTTTTTTTTTGTTTGTGTATATATACATGATTTTGTTCTTTTTTTAAGTCGGTCGGTGGGTCGAGTTAAGGAAATGAACATCTTTTTCATTTCTTCTGTGCATGATAACTGTATGTAATTAACCTAGTCAGGTTGATGATGTTTTGAAATGAGATACATGTTCAAATAGCACATATGAGTGATTGGATGTTATGAAACATACCGTATGGGAAAATAAATAATTTTTCTCACGTGAATATATGCATTGCTGCTTCATACACATATTGTCTCCTTTTGTTTGTCAAACATCAGTTTATCTCATATCAAAATTTTGTTCTTATTATATAGGTATGGCTCACCACATCACACTCGATCACAGTCAGTTAAAACTCCCGGAAGTCGCGCCTCAGGACGCCCAAATCAACTATGTTTACCACAACAGCGTTCAAGGTAAAGAAAACGAAAAGTTTTTATATCTTTGAATAACAGCCTTTTTTTTTGGATAGGAGTCATTCTAAAATTACGTTACGCTTCATAAAGTCAATTTTACTTTGAGCAGTAATGTCTTATGTCTGATGCTCGACTAACCAATGAGTATGAATATTTTATTTTACTGTGTAAAGGGAGGGACCCGAATAGCACAAGTCGGTTAATCGATCAGAAATCCGGCACCAAGACACCTGAAATGGTGCTGGATTTAAATCGAAGCCAGCAACATGCAAGAGTAATGCTTCTTGGTGCTGGATTTCTATTCGATTAACCTTTTTATGCTATTCGGGGGAGTAGCTATATCAAATTAAACCTAGCACAACGTATAATGTGAATGACCCCTTTCGAAAAAGAGAGCACCAAAAACTTTCCTTGATAAACATTAATCATATTTTGTTGCCTTTTTCCTCTTTTCATATACTCAAATACATAAACATTTCCTCCTTTTTATTGATGCCAATTCATCATCAATGCAGAGTGGCTTCGATGCCAAACACAGGAATAGAAGAAGAATATTATAGGTTGCGGCATTTCTCAATCACAGGCAAAGGTATTGTGAATCGAGGTGATTCGTTGAAATCACGTCGTAGTAGATCAAATAATAGCGTTGCCAGCTCAAACTCAAGGTAGGTACCCATACCTTCTTTTTTTCAATTCACCTTTTGCATTTTAAATATTTATGCTTATCATTGCTTCTTCATAATATTCTCAATTATGTACATTCTAGCTTCTGAACTTGCTTTCATTTCACTTTATATTTCCTTCTTGGTTTCTCACACATCGAATTTGATAACAAGTGAGACATGAGAGAATGTAAAAAATAATGTCATTACAGCTTTCTTAAAAGCTTTTGATGTTTTCCCAATCATACATTTTTTTATAATTTTATTTTTTTTGTGCGTCTATAGCGCGGAGGTTTTACGAAAATATTTTGTTTAAAAGCATGATGTGAAAAATTAAATCAAATTCAAACGAAAATCTTTAGCGTAAAAATATTACCTGAAAAGCTGTACTTAATGGCTTTCTGTACCGTAAACGTAAAAGGATGAAAATAGGTCGAATTACACGAATAATTAAGCACAAAGATTACTTTTTTGTGCGAAGGAATATTTATGTCAATTCGTAGTATCTGTTTTTTTTGGATAAAACATTTTGTACGTGAAAATGATCCCTTTCAAGAATTTCTAAGAATTCCTTTATTTTCTTTGACATGACCACAAGAGTCGAGCTGAAAGCTTTCGGTTCAAATTAGATTATTCCCAATTTTATTACGAACAACATTTTTCTTCTCTATTTATTTATTTCATCATGAACAGACGAAAGAACATCGCTTCTCAATATCATTAATGATTTGTTCCTTTTATGTTCAATCTTGATACTTGTTCTTTCACCCACTTCTCGATTTCCTTTTTTTTCAATCTTCATTATAAGTATAATTAAATTGAATAAGTTTACGTCTATACTGACTTAAGTGATCGTGATGTTGATGTAGATAACAAAGCAAATCCTGTCACATAACGTTAAATATCTGACCCAAGTTTTAGCTTACGGGAGAAGTGAAGAGTAAATCATGTTGTGTGATTTTTTCCCTTCTATTTCGTAAAAAAAGATACATTGTTATTTCTTTTGACTGACAGATTAGCTTTGTAATATTTTTGACAATTTGTAATCTGCAATCAGATAGTTTGTGTTTTGATTACTGCCAAGTTGTTGACATTCGTGCAAATATTTGCTAATCGGATTGTAGTTTGATTTTGATGAGTTTACTAAGAAAGTTATCTAGCTATTCATGCTCAATTGATACCAATTTCAATTCAAATTTAAAATTCCTTAAGGCGATGCAAATATCTTTAAAAGTGCAAATAACATTTCCGAGGAGCTTATAGAAGTAGGGACCATGTTTTAGTTGCATTATGTGATTCTCGGTATCATCACAAGCAAGTATGCTTAGAAGTGTCGAAATTCTTTATGACACTGATAAAATTACAACAAACATTTGAGTTGGATTAAATTTTATTCTGCTGAAAGAATTTATGTCTCCATTGACAACGAACAAAATACATATTTATAAGGAACAAGAAAAAAAATCAGAAGATGAAGAAGAGCTTTGGCAGAAAAAGCTCTGTGTCAAATGAGGTTTAACAAAACCATAAATATCGATGATTGTGAATTTTCAACATTTTTCAAGTCTGATGGTGTAATTAATTTCTTACAACTTATTTCGCGACTTACAGTGAAAAATGTTAAACAATTATAGAATATTGTCGTTGAAACTTTTAGGGTTTATTTTACTGTCTTTATGCCATTATCGCTAGAAAGCATGAAAAATTAATTTAATAAAATGCTTACAAATCAAGAAAATTAAATGAAAAGAACAAGAAGGATTCTTTATCATTGTTTTTGGTGATATCTTAGGTCTTCTTCTCGCATCTTCTTCATTGTTCATTAATTTGAGAGTGGAATAAAGGTGTCTTATTATTTCAATATAAAATTTATTGAGTCAACGCACTTTATATTTATAGCTTCATTTCAAAAGGGGATGTTATCATCATCGTGAATCATGATAGATGCCCTAACATTGCTGCCTTTCATTCTTTGATTCTCGCACGTCAATAAATTCTAATTTAACAAGAAAGTCAAGAAGAATTCTGAAAGTTGTGAGATTGAATGATTAAATTTTAAACCGAATTATAGACAGAAAATTAGACTAGCTTTATGGCTTGTTGTAAAAGATAAAGTTAAGAAGTAAAGTATAAAAAATGTTTCGTCTTTTTATGAATAAGAAATTTTACAACTTGAGCATAGATCAATAAATTTTCATTCACCATTTATTATCTTTATAGGCAGGGCATGTCTGCTTGTAGGCGGATTAATAAAATATATTCGAAATTATTTTGAAAATTTTTTAAGGAAGAAGCTATTGACGTCTTTTAAACTTAAATACTTGTCAAGTTTCTTCTAAGTGAAATTCATCTTATATATTGAATTGTGATACATGGTTTACATTAGGAGCTGCATCAGATGCTGCTAATGAAGAAATAGTTGTTCTGAATATTATTTTTTTGATTAGTGACAAGTGAATGAGACCCAACTCATGTGCGTTAACAACTCTGAGAAATTTAGAGATAAATTTGTGCAGCTTAAAGCACGAGCAATTTATGTTCTGCTGCATAAAATATAACTGAGCATCAAAAGTGTCTTGAAGCTGTTTTGAATACACATACATAAGTGAATAGAGAAGATAAATTAAATTTTTAGAATTTTTTCATGTTTAACGTTAGAAAAAAAAATAAAAAAAACATGCACTAAATGAAGTAGAAGCTCCTCGTGAAGTTTATTATCTATTTATTTTTCTTCGTAACTCAAACATATTTTTTCTTGCATAAAAAAATTCTTATCTTCATCATTTTTCTTATTCTTTACGTCTATATGAGCAAATACTACAGTTCATTGTAATGTAAATAAGAAATGCGGACATTATTCAAGTTTACTCACGTGTATCATTTTTGTTGCGGCACAGAAATTGATCTACATAGTACCTAAACTTTCATGAGTTGAGGAGCGTCCAAAACGCTCATTTGTAGACATTAAAAGGTATTGAGTTCATTAAATTGCGTGGGAAAGCTTACATTATGTTCATTTAATAATGTATAATTGCATGAAATATCTTTAATTGATAAAGTTTCATAATTGAATGTGAACTCAGTAAATTGTCTTCACTTAACAACGTCAATAAAAATTTATTGAACTGTCTCTGTAGTTCAGTAGTTTATTGAGTTTGCGAAGAAGGAAAGAGTCCTTGCTATAATAAATTTATTGATTTATGAGATTGTCTAAGGAGCAAGCATATTGTGCTTTTGACACAAGCACCACACAATCACTTCAATGAACATTATTGATGTTTAATGTAAACATGCTATTGAAGGATTATTAAAAATAATAGATAGCATAACTGAATAAACAACTTCGTTCTGAATTTATATGAAGTAAAAGGAATTTTATCTTAGCTTTTGTTTTAATTTCATTTGCTGCTTATATGAATTGCTTTTTGTTTGAGTTGTATGTTGCTTAATATTGTGTACATATTTTAACAGATACTGAATACATGCGAGTCAACGAAATTTATCAAGATTCCAAAAAAATTAAATTTTTGGTTAAGTTCGACTTTCTTACAATAATCCAGTTTGACTCCCTTTGAGTATGAAAAAAATCAAGCAAATCTAAACTTCGTTTTTAAATAATGCATTCTGATTTACTTCTTACAAATCATGTCATCTTACTACATTTTTAAATTACTATGAGGGTATAAACATGTGATCGGACATGATGTCAACATTATTTTCTAGAAGTGATCCCTTGGATTGTATGATTTGAAAAGAACATGCTGAACAAGAAGTTGACACAACCTTTAAGCAACATTTACAAAAAGGAATTGAAATTTATCTCTAATTCTATCTTTCTCAAAAATTGATATAAAAATCCTACAAAATATTCGCAGCTATGCATCAGAATTTTTTTAAAATCTACATTGTAGTTCCTTTAAGAAAAACTCATTGTCAAGCATTTCCATATCACTTTGTGTCGTTATTTCAATCTCAATAAAGGCTTAAATTAACAATAGAAAATAAATTAACTTAGGTTTAATGTTATTCCAACATTTAACTCTTATTGTGTTGTGATATAAAAGCTGCAATGTTCATTATTTTTCTTTTCATTTCTGCTACTTTAAATATGTTGGTTTTCTATTCATTTTATATTTTTTTAAAGCACGGAACATTTAACAACAGCAGCCAATCATGGCGATTCAGCTAGAACAAGTTTAGCTTCAAGTAGAGAAAGTAGTACGTCAGCTCAAGGATCGCAAATTCCTTTTAGGTGAGCTTTTTTTTGTAAATAAATAGAACGGAAAATGTGAAAAGCATTTTCGGTACTTTTTTTTTACTTTTCATTCATCGAATCATATTTTATATTTTGTTTGCTATAAAAGTATAGAGTAAAATGGATTTTGTATAACCATAATAATTAGCAAAAGTCAATCAATCGCTGTCGAAAAAGTTAATTGGAATTTTTCCTTTTTTTTCTACTTTATTTTTTTTTTCAATTTCATCCGAACAACAAACACAACCTTTTAATAAAAAGGGTTTTAATGTTGGGCAGTGAAAAAGTGGGAAAAACCTCAATAGGTAAGAATATAAATTTTATAATCCCAAACACAAATACTAGCTCTACATCAATGCCAAAAACTTTTCCTTTACATGAAAAAAAAAACTAACATTTATTCTCTCTTTTTCCTTTGTCTATATTTTTGCAGTATCACAATTCATGACTAGTGAATATTTACACGCATATGACACATCAATAGGTGAGTTGCTATAGTGAAATAATTGTATAATAGCTTGAAACATTTGGGTTTGGTTTTATTGGAAATAAATGCAATTGAATCTCAAAATAATGCAATGGAACACGCTTCGATTGCGTTGAAAACTGTAAACTGAATAGAAAATTTTTGGTTTTATACATTCTACCGAATTATTGTTTTTGTTGGCCAACTTTAAGGAGCTGCGTTTAAATAAATTTTGTAAATCCTGAAATTTAAGGAAAAAATAATTTTTAAAATAGATTACCTGACATAAGAAGCTCAAAAAAAAAACTCTAGATCACCTAATGATAAGGAGAAAGAATCAGTCTCACTCGGCGCAATTAGACGATACTCAAAATTGCCTTAATTTCCCTTATTGCTTAACAACATTTCATTGTCATTGAATTCAATCAAAATATTGTTAAGACATTTCGATATTTTTATCTGAAATCATCAATTTCTGTAGAAAATAATGATCCTAATTTAGATACTTAAATGATATCGGTTTATTGGTTGCTTAGCAGAGTAATTCAGCTACATACTTAATTCTAGGCAACATGAGATTTTATTTTTTCTTAATACAGGAAAAATTGTTATTGAATTATTTTATGAGATTTTGTTATGAATGACTGCATTTAATTTTAGATTGATTCCAAAATACAAACTTGTGTCTGTTCGTCAGAAACTTAATAACCTTTCTCTTAACATGCAATGTGTTTTATTTTTGTAATTTTGGGGATTCAAAATTCATTTATTCCACTCTGCAAATGATACTTTGTAATCATTCCATTTCATTACATTTTCGTGACATATTATTAAATGAGAGGAAGTGAATTTGATAATGCAGAAAAACAAGAATTTTTTCAATCAACTTCTAATGAAAATTTTCCATTTGATGATGATGACAAGCTTCAAATAAAGCGAAATTGAATTTAATGGAAGCTCATGTGTTCACTGGAATTCTAATGTAGACAGACAGAATAAACAACGAAAAGGTTTATTTTATTTACGTTTGACATGAAAAATGAAAATTAACTAGTGTCAGGTACATAATGCAATTTATTTAACTTTGTGCATCCTCATCTTAAATTTACACAATTTGTTTGAATATTTATGAAAGCACATGTCGACAAATTGTAAAGTTGAGAGACATATGTATTTAAATTAGAATAAAATCATAGAATGTCCATACATAGACTCATCTAATTGATGACTGTCACGTTTTGTGCCAAACATAAATTTTAGAGATTTTTCGTCTAAATCTGTCCATTGTTTTCGTGATGTAGATGAAATTTGCAGATAGACAGAAAAAGTTAGACAAATCTGTGTATTTTTCATACATTCATCACAACACAACAGTATAAAGTAGAATTAATTAAAAAGTTTTAGCATCTAATTTCGTTTTTGGGTTGGATAAATGATAAAATGTTTGCAATACTACATGACAGAAAATACGTTCGTTTGCCTTTAGATTTTAATTTGAATCAAATAAGTCTCAAGAGGAACTTGGCAATCTTGATACAAAAATTATCATTTAAAGAAGGAAATTCGAGCCTTTTTATGATGATTGTTTCCCCGTGTTGATCATGATGATTAAAGATTTATGAAGCTCATCCATTGCTTATCTCAAGTTTCGCGAATTTTGGCTTTGAGGCTTGTGAAACTCGCTAAAGTTTTAGGTTGCAGACATATTGATTGACTAGGTTTATTAATTTGATACAATTGATTGAAGATAAGGATTTCAATTTTTTTGAGATATAAATCATCTGTCAGTTGATTCAGGCAACTCTTCAAATCAATAATTCTATCTTTTGTGAGGAAACGGGTTCAAGTAGAGTCGATTTATAAAATCAATAAAATGACAATAACTAGTACAGCATTCTGCGTAGACTTCTTTGGAAAAGAAAATCAATTAAAAATTCTATTAGCAGAATGCAATTAGCAAGCAAATGAATCATTTCCAAATGGTTCTCAATTTATCATCAATCATTTTCTGCACACTATAAATATCATTTCTATAGATACAAACATTTTTAAATGGTAATAGAGCGTGCCGTAGGCAATAGAAAAAAATGTGCCAGTTACTTTCGTTTCTTCACTGTAGAAGGAACTTTAAGTTCTTTGTAAACACTTAATGATGGCAATTAATTTAATGATGTAACAGAACTGCGAAGGAGGAATTATTTCGATGTCATTAAACTGATTGATACTTTGTTATCTATGACAAAAGTTGGCTCCAATGCGGAGGTGTGTAGTGCTTTTCTATAGCTAATTCTGTGTCAAGCTAGATAGAAGAAGTTAGCACATAAATTGATCCAAAAAAGAGAATCTCCAATTAATTTTCTCATTATTTTGACTTATCAGTTTCTTATCTTCTATATATTTTTTATTTCCATTCACATTCATCATGTTGTATCATATTCGACTTATTTTTAGAAAAGGATGATGATGATGATGATAGCAACAAGAATAATGTACAAATTGTTATTGACCGCGTGGGTATGTTAAACAACAAAAATCCATTGATAGAATTTGTATACCTTTGTACATAATCTTTTCCATACATTTTTTGTCTTAATCTCTTCAAATAAACTTATTTGTTTCATCTTTTGTTAATTTTATTCTTACTTTATATCTCTCCGCTATGTCTAAACCTCGATATTAATCCTTGAACATGAATAAAGAACTGAATAACTATTTTCAGCATGCTCTAGTTTCCTCTAATGAATGTTAATTTAATTTCATATTAAGTAGATACATAACAGAACTACTGCTCATTCGATATGGAAAAACTAACTAGTGTATACATTTGTTGTAATATTTTAGCATATACCAAATAATTTATATCTCTGTTAATTAAAACTTTGACCATATTCCATTCGTTATGTTATTTTTTAACACACAAAAATAAGCTGGGGTGGGTGGAGTTGTAGAATATGGAAAAATTGTACTCGTTTAGCTTATCATGATGAAGCCTCAGTAATTATGCAAATAAAATTGCGAAATAGCAAAAAAATATTCATACATACATAATTCAAGTAGATCTCATCATCTAATGATGCAAAATTGATTGCTATTGGGTATGCTGTGAAGGAAATTCATTTATTTTAGTTATGGGAAAATATAAACCAAGCAATTATTTGCTGTCAATTACATGTGACTATCAATTGGTTTATGGAAATTACATAAATGACTATTTTCCAGAATGATCATTAATCTGTAGAATAAACCACGACGTATAGTGTTGACAGCATGAGCATTACAATTACGGCACATCCTATACTGTCCATCCTGTCGAATCAAATTTAAATGCTATTGTTTTCATACCAAATGAGAGGTTTTTGTGGAGCATAAATTATAGTAAAAATCCATTAGTACAATTGTCAGTCAGACAATATTACAGGCTTTTATCAGGCTTCGAGGAGCCCTGTCATATCAATTTATTATAATCCTTCTTTAATGCTTTGATGTGTTTGTGCATTGGTGTCTCTATATTGCTTGTAGCATCATCATTCATTTCCATAAAATACGTCTGTATAAATAAGGTGTCAATTAAAAATCCTCAAAAGCGATGATTGCAATTCAAATGAAGTTTACTTTACATCACAACCTTTACAGCAGCAATGCTGTACTGCATCAGAAAGAATTTATTTCATGACATGAGTCTTTTCTTGTATTTATTTTTTATAGACGACGATTCTGGTGAGAAATCTGTCAACGTCCTTTTAGGTGGTGATGAATCAGAAATGGTCTTTATTGATCATGCATTTGCAGACATGACGGTACGTGCATTAATCTATTTAATTTATGAAGTGATATATCAATAAAATTAATTTGTTTCGTCTCTAATGTCTTTCCATTTCCTAATAAATTTCTGTCATCAGCCTGAAAATTGCTTATCATCATACGATCCAAATGGTTATCTCGTGATTTATTCATCTGCAGACAGAAGTTCATTTAATGTTGCTGAACGTGTCCTACAGACTTTATGGACGTCAGAAAATATTGCACAAAAGGCTGTGATACTTGTTGGAAACAAAGCCGATTTAGCAAGAAGTCGTGTCATCACTTCTGAAGGTAAGACATCAATTTATTTTGATTTATTCTTACAACCCGATTAGTATGCTCTAAAATGTCATACGCTGGCTTTATGGACAGTATACTTAGAACCTTATGGGAAACAATTGTTTGAAAACTTAATCATTAAGTAACCATCACTTGGTTTTGAGCATATTGGTCTATAAAGTGCATAAAACATTTAAACGTTTGCTGATCGGTCTAGCAACATGTTGAATGGTTTTGGGATAAAATGTTTATGATAATTGAATAATATTTAATATCAGTCTAGCTTCTCTAAATGTGATTAAGATTTCGTGGAAATCCTGAGTTTCAAAAAATTCATTTTAAATGCGAAATTGAGACTTAAATTAAGTCACTTAATCGAAATATCATATTACAAAATTTTCCAGGAACAACCCTGAATTAATTTAAATTGAAAGCTTTTTTTTCCTTGCTTATTTCATTCTTCTTGTTTCGAGGAATTACAAGCTCTCGGGTTAGGAAACATGAGGAGAATAGAAACAGCAATCAGAATTTGGGTACAGCATGATACCAAAGAATTAATTTCATTAGAATTTTTTGGTTAAATCATGCTGTTTAGATAATGAAATCATTTCTTGCAGCATACTTGTATGTTGCCAGTTCCGAAATCTGATATTGTTAATTTCGAGATGAATATCCTACTATTTAGACATGATATTTGCTTTGTGTAAGTAAATATTTAAGTTTTGGTCTTTTTGAATCAGCAAATAAATCTCTAAAGGATGAGATTGATGAATATTCTTACGAAACTTTATTGAGGTCAGGATGTCTACAAATAATAATAATTATGTCTGAGTCAAGTCATCTAACCACATTGGTCTATCGTTGGTCAAATATTGTATTTCCATTACATAAAATTTACTACTTGCTCTAAAACTTATCCACAAACAAAGACTCACTTCATTACACTTGACTTCATACTGAAATATAAATAAGGCGACAATTCTCCAGCGTATACACACATTTGTATCTTTTTTGTTAGTGCTATAAAGCATGAGCCACATGCTAATGGAAAAGGAAAAATAACATTTTTTTTGCTCACTTCATTTTTTATTCCTTACAATGGATGTGGTTTATGTAACTTACTTTTTCTCTTTGCTTCCTTAACGTTTACTGTAGATGAACTTTTTCTCAAGCTCTCTTGCTGCAGAATTATAATGCTTGACATTTACTTTGAATGGTTTTTTCAACCTGATGGTTTGAGTGGTGATGTATGGCACATAAGTTGGTCAATGAGTTTTATGATTGACATTTTTAAAGTTCACTCATTTTGATTGAATTTTGTGAGTTTGATATGAGAAAATTGAATTCTCATGAAATCAAATGAAGTGAAAAATTATGTCAATTTGTTCAACTTTTCAAGCTTAGATCATCAACTTCTCCATTAGAGTTAATAAAATGTGCCGCAGGCACTAAACAAGTTGACAAACTAGAAATTGTCTCTTGTCAATATTTTGTACTAAACATCACAAAAAGTAAGCAAGAACAGTAGTTGACTGAATGATGATTTGGTGAACTAAAAAAAGGATAAGTAAAGAAAAAGCAAGAGCAAAAAATAAATCTTGATGCTTGAAAAAAGGCAGGTTGTTTGTATGCACACAATATAATCTCATCTCGTTGCTTTTTATTGCCGTATATACAAGCAGTATCAAAGTGAGCAAAGAGGCAATATAAACAGGCAAACAGCACTTTCTAAAGAACATTTGTAAACAAATACAATTTTAAAGCACGAAGGAAATTTCCTATGTATGTGCGGCATAAAGTATGCCATAAAAAGAATGAAAATCGCTGCTAAGATAAATATTTGATAATTTCTTGTGTTTTTCTTCAAATAGAAAATTGAATTTTACACTCTATTGAATATTGTAAGGAGCTGTCATTTGAGAAATTGATTAGTCTTAAGATTTTATTTTATTTAAAGCTTTTATGGATGAGAGATAATTCTATTCGATGTAAAGTATATTGAGTGGTTTTATATTTTGATATTATGTGCATGCTTTTAGGAAAAAATCTTTGATCCAAAGAGCAGAGTTGTTTTCAGAAGTCATTAACTTGTTAGATGTTAAGTCTCGGATGTGCTGTTAGGCTGCACCATTACATTTTCTGTGGGTGTCAGGCGCGTAGCCAGGGGGGGGGGGGGAGATTTTGGGGACAAATCCCTTAACGTAAACAGAAATTTCTTTATTTTTCTAGGGTTTTTATGAAAAAATCACAAAAATACCCCCCCCCCCCCCCCTTCTTAAATTTTTCCATGCACTTCTGGCTACGCTCCTGGTGAGTGTTGCCTAAAGTTAAGTGAAATCCATGTAAGCTACTCTGTAAATTTACATCATCAAGTCTTAAAGAAGGAAGCAATTATTTATCTTAAAAATTGATTCATAAGATATTCGTTCTTGATATTTCCACATTTTTATTAATGGATGTAAATTTATGGAAAATTTTTAACGATCAAATGTCATTAGAATCTTTCGTGTAATGTGAAGCATTTTTTTAAACATCCAAATTGCGAATAAAAATAGCGTGCACCATAAAGTCATTGAGTTAACAAGTTGAACGTAGAAAGGAAAGAAAGAGAAAGCCATAACGTGATATATTGTCAAGGGAGTCATGAATTTATTTATTATTGTAACATCATTTCCTTAACACTTTTTTTTTCCTTTTCCACCCATTATACTCTCATTCGAAACAATAAAAATTGTTGGGCGGAAAGAGCAAGTCTATAAAATGGTAAATAAAAAAGGTAAAGTAATATTGATTGATATCTACCAAGTAATTTATTTTATGCATTGGCTGCTGTTTCTGCTTAAATTGTTAATGCGAACTAGGGAAAATTTTTCATTGTTAAATACCTCGCAATAACTTTCTACCTTGTTTTAATGTGGTTTACCTTTTTTTAAAGGGTATCCATAAATGAGAATGGCTATTCGTGTAAGCTTTGGATATTTGCAAAGTGAGATTCAGTCACAAATCCTTTTCTGCAAAGACTTCTTGACAATTATAAGCTTGACATAATCTTTAACCTAAATAAATACATACACAACTTTACGTTTGGATTGATCTTGATCTTTACTCAGGGATTTCATGAGAAAGATTTAATGATTATGACACGGTATTGTGAAGGTTTGTTTGACCTTAAATGTAATCATATATCTATCCAACAAGGATTTTCTGTGTAAATGCATTAATGTAAGTTGAAAGTTTCAATGACATGAAAATCTACAAGATAATATATCAAATGATATTAAATTGAGTTGGTTCTTGGAACTTTGCATGTGCTCATGATTTAAATATCAGCAAATTCCAAGAACCAGCAGATTAGATTTACTAGTTAAAAGAGCACTTAATTTAAAATTAATAAAAACTTTATCTACACTATTCTAAAACTCATCTGAGGATAAATGCACAGTAAAATAAACATAAATGTTCATATCATCAAGTAAAATTGCTTTATTTATCTGCTAAACAGATGAACAAACTACGATATCACAGCCGCAATGAAACTTTATACTCATTTACACTATAAAATCTACGGAAGTTGGCAATAACCCCGCAAAATAAAGAAAAATAGATTGCAATGAAAGAGGAAACTTTTGCACACGCGATCTTGTACTTAATTTTCTATCACATGCACTTGTAATCACTTTTCATTAACAATTTTGATGGTGCAAATGTGCTACACAATAAGGTTATTTCATATCTTGGTGCAGCCAGAATGTTTTGTGTAATTCTGTTCTCTCCATTACACCAATTTTTTTGTTGTGGCATATGGAATCTAAAACCACAGATGTGGAACTCTTCTTGAATCAAACTGAAAAGAAAATTGAATGGAAAATTTAATTTGTTCAATGAGCTTCAACTTTAAACTTTCTTACTCATTCTGATATCTCCTTAAACAAGCATGTTCATATATGTCTATATATAGTTTGAAATTGCCAGCTTTCATCCCCTTTAACGATGCATGAAAGAAGCACACTTATACGACCTTTTCAATCAATTCAATGTTGATGCTCACATCACAGTCAGTCAGATAGATAGATAGATACATGGATGCAATATGAATACAATTTTCTTATTATTTGCTTTTATAAACACTTGAAGAAAAATGCGCAGTATTTGTTATATGATGTCGTGCTCTATTGCTCTGTTTGACTGCATGACTATCATCACGACAGCTCGTAAATTTGGACTTATGTCTATGCTTTTATTGCTCTCATGCAATAGATTTGGATCTTCTTATTGAGTATTTTTCATCAAATTTATGGTCAAGCTTAAATCGAATTTTAGATGAAATTGTCAGTGACAACTTTTGACTTTTTTTTATTTATTTCCATGGCCATTAAATAGAATTCGCAAGTGGAATACACTTAAGGCTAGCGAAGACTGCAAAAAAGACATTTCAACTTGTCTTCTTATTTTATTTACTTTACCACATTCCATTTGCGAATTGATGTTTAAGAATTTTTCACATGAAGAGAAATGTGTCAAAATGCTGCACGCTATATTCCAATAAAGCACCTCTTGAGTAAAGCATGACACACATGTCGTAAGTGAATTTAGATGCGTAGGATATAAAGTGAAATCATAAGCTTCAAATATTCCCTTTTTAGAATTTAACGTATGAATAGATGTGTCGAAAAGTATTAAGGATTTTAGCAGCTTTATGCGTATTCCATGGCATTTCGTTTGAGATATGTGCTGAATACAATTTTTATCTCAATGTATTTTTTCTCTCGCCTTTTTTTCCATGAAATGTCTAAAGTTTTATTTTTCTTCTTTTTATCTCATCCTAGCCTGTTTATCTTATTCCCATTTTTTTGATGATGTTCATGGAAGCACATGAAAAGAAGATTTATCATCATTTTAATCATTCTCTTGATACTTACTTCATCTGAATTCACATAAAACGTAGAAAAATGTTATAAATTGTTAAGGGAATTTATGTCAAAGGCTTTAACCAATTTTGGTTGCTTGAACAAAGCCGATTTGTGCTAAAGATTCACATTCTTTAAGCGTACACACTTTGTTAAATTAATTACGCCAATTTTTTTTCCAATTCTTTGTCTTGGGGACAGATTGAGTTTAACGAAGAATTGAAAAAGGAACGAAAAAAGACAAGAAATTTTCATGCAAATCAACTAATTTCATTTTGATGCTGTGCTAATTATTTTTACGAGTAATTTTTTTTAATGAACCGTAGAATATAATTAAAGCTTGTGTCTAATGTGATTTTTCAGAGGTGTTTTAATCTGGATCTTGGTTAAGGCTGTATTTTTTTTGGAATGTCTATTATTTTAAAACATTCTCTCCATTCATCTCTGTGGACTTTGTTCTTCTCATTCTTCAATATTCATTAAATAATAAATGATTTTTCTAAGTGGGAGGAATTGGTAATCAATTTAAATAAGAAGTGACGTCTACAATTGAAAGTGTCAATAAGGAACTTGCTTTTATTATTTTATAAAAATGAGGAAATTTCATCTTAAACTAGATGTTTATTCATTCAGGGAAAAATTAATTAAAGTAACGCAATTAATTTGTGATAAAGCACATATTGCTGGATATAAAGCAGACAGGATATAAAATAGAAAATGGAAAATTTAAATAAACAATTTTAATTCGGTGGAATAAATAATTAATGCTATAAATGTGATGAGGATAAATTTTATGCTATAAACACAATGTGAATTGAGACAATAACAGGCTTTATTATTATCACTTGACCAAAAGAACCATTCAACATGAAATGTTTGGTTTACAATAAATATTTATTTCGAAATTATAATTTTTTTATCAATTTTTATCTCATTGTTAAATTTGTGCTTGTTTCGATAATTTTTTCACTCCAGAGGGTAAAGCTATGGCAACAGCATATGACTGCAAATTCATTGAAACGTCAGTAGGAATAAATCATAATGTGGACGAGTTGCTTGTTGGCTTGCTGACGCAGATACGTCTAAAATTGGAAAATCCAGAAAAGTCTAGGTATGTAGCATATTTATGTCTATTTTACTGACGTAGTTGGCAACACAACATGAAGACTAATTTACATTTCTCACTTTCAATTCATCAAACTATCGTTTTGCAGAGATTTGTTCCGTAAACGCTCATCTAGAAAATCAAAACGTCGTGCATGTTCACCTTTGAATGTAACCACAACGTGCTTGACAGGAAATACAAATACAAATCCAAGTACACCAGTGGGAACTGCCAATGATGCCGCAAATACACCACCAAGTAGCATTCAAAATAGGTAACAAATAAAATTCATTCTTCATATTGCTCAATATTTCATCTTTTATGTCTTTCTCATTCTTCTTTATTCCCCTAAATTTGATGCCGACGACAACAATTGATACAAAAAAAAATCTTAATAATTCATAGCCCTAGAAAATATCGTGGATCAAGAACATCAGCGAGCTTAAAAGTAAAAGGACTCCTGGGGCGTGTTTGGGCACGAGATTCAAAATCAAAAAGCTGCGAAAATTTGCACGTGCTGTAAAAGTGTCCGTCTCACAGCAGGAAGCGCATTTATTAAAGAGAGACTTTTTTTATTTAAAAGCGAGATTTTCTTTTAAAGAAATTTTGGTTGACATTATTGATTTTTTTATCTAGAAAAAAGTTGTCGAGTAAGCCAATGGATCTTAATTTTAGCTCAGATTGTTATTTGAGATTTGTGATAGCCGAGATTATCATATGAAAAGAGCTGATTTGATTAGATAATAATTAATTCAGCAGCTCTGTCTGGAAATATGTATCTTCGAGCAATCTTGAAAATTTAAAGAATTTAACTTCAAAAACATATCTATGAATTTCATTAATAAATCCCGTAAATCACATTGGCTTATTCTGCTTTAGAATGTATGATTTTGATACAATTTTTGTTTTATTTTAAGAAATGCAGATTATGCATTAAATTAATTTTTTCTGTAATTAAAATAAAGGAATTAAGAATTTTTTATACATGTACAAATATATTTTTTATTATTATTATTAAGACTCGTTCTTTTGGTTCTTCCATTAAGTATTCTTTATGTTTGTTATCGTGAATAATTAAAATAAGAGGGAAAGGATGATGACGATGTAAATGAATTATAAATAAGATATTCTTGAAAAAAAGGAGCGTAAAGGTAGTGAAATGAAAATAAGAATTAATTAAGTATATGGATATGGGAAAATATGGGAATTAGAACAGAAAAGATAAGCAATAAGAGCGTAGTCTGATAAAGTTTTTAACTTGTGGCTATCAAGAAGAGTTGGAATGGAAAGAAATTGACAGATTTTTCGGATGATCCTTAATCAGTTCTTTTTATTTATAAATCCTTTAAACTTTGGATTAACTTCTTTGAAATTTACGCTTTATAAGATTTTATGTCTAGCTCAAAAGTAATTCTTAAAAGTGGCTATCATTTTCTGATTGAAAGAAGATAATTGAGAAAATTTTTGCCTTATTAAAACTTTTCTGATGAGGGTTTAAACTGTCTTATTTGTCAATCTGAAACCCTTACCTCAGTAATTAAAATTACATCTTTACTTTTTAATAAGGCTCTTAAACAACTTGAAATTTTGACTTTGAAGAAAAGTATCTAAACTTTTATCAACAAGCAGACTGATTTTTTTTTCTGCTCAATATTGGAAAAAGGATGGTTTTGCCTGTTATATTTCCATTTGTTCAGTAACGAAAGCAGAGTTTGGACGAAAATATTTTAAAATTTGAAAATTTTCCTTCGCTGAAGATATTTTCCTTCGCTGAAGACATTTTCCGTCAATTAAATCGGCATCTGTATTGATGCTATCAACAGTACTTATAGCTGTTTGTGGTAAAAACCACAAAATATATTCACTTTATTCTGAATGGTTTTTTAAAAAGCTAAAGCATACAATTGAATTTTACTAAAGGTCAGAAACATCTTAAGAGAGTACTTTTTTATTTGTAGGCTGATCAAACCTGCAAGATATTTTTCATCGACGTTATTTTATAAAGTTAAATTTTTAATGCCATAAAAATTTGAGAATAAATTCTGGATTGTTTCAAATCTTTAAATTGTATATCCTGTCAAAAGTGTGCAGATGAACACCCAAATCCTAATCCAAATCCAAAAAGTCTGTCAATTGAATTCCTTCGTTCGAATTTAATTTGAGTTTAAGTTCGATGAAATGAAATCAAGTACAATTGAATTTGAATTATATTCATCTATTAATAAATTCAGCATAAATTCTATTCGTTCTTTTTTTCTTTCCTTGACTTTTATGTAACAACACTCGATAAATAAAATAGAAAAAAAATCTTATATTTCTTCTTGTGGTGAATATCTCGTAAATCTCATGAAAAATTTAAATATATTATATTTCCGTACATAAAAGGAACAAAAGGAAGAAATATTGTCTCTTGGTCTTATTATGAGAAATTCTTTCTATAAAATTGTAAGACGAGGAAATTGTGTCAGTAGATAGCATAAAAACTCATTTCAATTTGCATTTACATTTTTCATAAACGTAAAATATTTTTTTTTTACCTCTCTCGCATTTTTGAATCCAAAAGTTCAGCACATCTTTATTAAAAATGATCCACAAACAAAATATGAAAGAAATTTTCCTCAAGAAACATTTGTCTAAATAAATAGATAGAAAAGAATGCGAAATACACACAAAGTATGTAAATACTTCACATTCAACACATTATGAAATGCATCAAAATATTTTGTATGTAACACATTCACTACAAAGTAGATCACAAAAATGCTTTATGCAACATTTTTGCTTGAAAGCTTTCAGATGCTCTTTGATGAAATGAATGAGTTTGCAGATGGGAAAGGATGACAAACAGTTCATGAAATTTGAGTTTGGATTCACAGATTTTTCTCTGGACGAGTAACTAGACACTATAATTTCGACCCAAATTTTAATATCCTGTAAAAAAGATCAAAAATAAGCTGAACTTAAAAAGAAAAATGTGGAAAAAATAGAAACCCAAAAATAGATAGAATATTTCACATTCGTTCGTATAGGAAAATTTATAGTTTACATGACAGACAGGCTGCACCCTTTTTCGATTCAATGAATATATAAGCAAAAGCAGCAATAGCAATAGATGAATTTATGCATCTAGGTCATTGAAGGTTGAAATAATTTAAATCCACAAGTTTAATTAGAATTCTATTATTTACAGTAATGATGACACGCGGTTTAAATATAGAAAATGGAATGAAAGATAATCAAGGAATTTACATATAAATGTGGGGAGAATATCATGTATAATTGCATAGAAGTCCCACAGTTTCATCCCTAAACGTTTTGAAAATAGTTCCTAGAAATGAAAAATAAACACAGATTGAGTTCTAGATAGTTTGATATAAAAACATAGCAAAAAAAGGTTTTTTATCGAAACAAATTTATCAAATCCAAAGCCTTAAAAATTATTATAATGCCACTCACATTCATACATATAGTAGAGATTATATCAAAGCTTCCAAATAAACCTGAAATAAAATTATATATCAAAATACATATAAACGTTTGAAACTTTCTTTACTTCCATGAACATTTTTTTCTTTCTATTTTCTTAGCTATTTTTTTGAGTTTCACAAAACAAATTTATTTTTTATTTAAAATGTAATGGAAATTATTTTTTCATAAATAATTTTTTACATTCCCTGGCAGCAATAGATTTCAAAATGTTTTTAATAGTTTTTAGCAGATTTGAGAAATTCCTGCTGTTGACAAATCGATTAATTTTGATTTTTCACATGTCAATATTCAATTCTGGAAGTCTTTTTTGGCAGATTAATTTAAGTGAGATTTTCTTGAGAATTAAGGTTATTGAAATTAATGTTTAGGATTAAAATGATTTGAAAAATTAATTATTTTATAATAACCTGGATGTCTCCTCAAACAAAATTTTAAATGTTAAGTAATCTCTAAAAGCTGGAAGACGGCCCATAAAATCATAATCCTGAATCTGAAAAATCTCTTATTAGAATCACAAAGAATTGTGATGATTTTAATTTTCAACTTTCTTAGATTTTCAATCACTTCTAAGACTTCATCACCACTCATCATGGTATGAGTATCAAATTTGCTGCTAGGGACAAGCTACCTTTTAAATTCAGATTTTATTTTTTTTAAACAAGAAACGAGAAGAATAAAATAAATTATGAAATGATGTAGAAATGCTCATATCCTCAAAAAAATAAAATTATACCATTTAATGAGAGAACGGCTAGTTTTGTAGATGAACTTTATTAGAATAAAAATAAAGATGAAATTTATCATGATAATATTCGAAATCTAGAGAACCAAAAAAAAAGAAACATATTATGAAGAAAATGACCAAAATAAATATGCATAAAAGAGAATAAATTATTATGTTTTATGTAGTTTTGATGAAGAACAACAGTAATGATTATTATACATCGTCAGGTGCCTTTTTTATTTGATCAAATCAATTTTTGATAGCCGTTGGATGATAAACATAAACGGAATGAGAAAATAATAAATCGATTCATTTTATTGAATGTGAATGATATTCCTTACAAAATAATGAAAAAAATAATAATATTTTATGTTTTAATGCTGAAACATAAACCATAGATATATAATTGAAATGCCAAAATATATAAATGTTAATTTCTTCCTGCATTTTATATATTAACATTAATGCACACACACACACACACACACTCACATCCTGCTTCAATTTATTGATATATATATTTTTTTGGCGCTTGCTTGCATGTTATTCAATATCACACTTTAAACATCAACTGCATCTCATTTCTATAACATAGGAAAATATTTTGTGCATTTTTCATGATGTTCATCGTGCATCCAACGCTTCTGTTCATGAAAAGAATTTGAATGATTTTGAAATAAAATGCTGATGCATTGTTTAACAGCAGACATCAATAAACCTGATCAGACACAATTTTTTTTGACAAATGTTGTTTAGAAACTTCAAAACAATTTCGAGATTCTTCTAAACTTTTGAAAACTTCACATTTTTTTCTTTTCTAAGGAATTTAATCACTTAGTTTTCTTTGAAGCTTTCACAAATTGTTTACTGGATCTTTTAACATTTTCGACGAAATTGTTATAGCATTAAAATATCTGTAGTAAATAACTTTTGACAGCTGTAGATAATTGTTTCTGCGTAGTTCAATTATGCCGTATACCCTTAAGCTATTAAAAAAAAATTGGTCATGCTGATAGATCTTTTATTGCCTTATAAAGCACTTAAGACCGATAATTTCATGATATTTAATATTTTTTCTAACGAATTATTGAGAATGTGCTGCTCCTGCTGTAACAAATGGATAGGTTGTGAAATCAGAGTTGTCACATAATGATCCAATCGATAACATTTGTTTTTTATTTTAATTCACCAACAAAACATAATAATTTCAATTAAATCGTCGTGTCTAGAATTTAAAAAAAAATAAAGTTCGAATTTTTTTTTCATGAACATTCACGTGTGCATGCTTTCATTTGCATCAATTATTCAAAGGTTTTTTCATTTCTGTCATACATTTATAAAACTCTTAAGGGATTATTTAAAAATGACGTTTGTGAAATATTTAATTTGTAAATCATCTGTCTCTTGCCGTTAATTTTTTTTATCCATTTTGAACATCTTTAACAAATCCCCTCCTCCTCCCGACCCCTTTCAAGTGACGTCATACATAAATAATCTTTTAAAAAGTGACTTTAACTTTGCATAAAAAAATATGTTAAAAATTTAATTTCATTTTGTAAGTAATTTTTCGCTCTCCGTTTTAAAAAATGACAAATTGAAAAATTTATAACTTAAGAAACTTTTTCTTCCTAGAATAACAATCATTCTGTCATTCATTCAATCGCTCGCTCCGTCATAAAAATTAATTCAATTGAAATTCATAAAACTTGATCGGATTTTTATAAAGTGAACTACAGCGTAACGAGAAAATAATGATAATGGCAAAGGAGATTGTAAGAGAGTTTACAGCGCCTCTATTTCCATGTGCCAAATACGATGAGTATTAGAATCTCATTATTTTTTTTTTAAAAGAATAATTTATTTATATCGATCGATTAATTCTTCTTTTTTTAAACAAAGCGAGATAAAAATCCATACTTGAATACAGATGAAGGGATTTTTGTCTATTTCTATTTACATGATGATGATTAAATTTAAATTAATATTTTAAACAAAAAACCTTGTTGGAATTTAATAAACATTCAAATTGAGTGAACAAAACAGATTAATAAAAAGCATTTCAAATATGTGCACAAACATGTGTTCGGAAATTCGCGGGTAAAATCGACAAGTTATTAAAATTGTAGAGCACAAAACCACCCACCCACAAAAAAAAACACACGAAAATTTATAGAATGATGATGGAAATTAGTAGGAATAAACACATACATTTACTCTCCTGACATCTAATTTACTTTTTATTTTCATTTAATCGGAAGGTTAGGCAATTTGGATTTTGAAATTAAGCAGAATTCTAATTTATTTTACATTACACGCTTTGCTTTTCAAGATTGGCAAAACTCTTTGATCCGATTTATTTGAAGAAAATGGAAAATGGAAAATTGAAATTTGAATCAGAATTGGTAATTTGAGATATCCCATGACATTTTCCGTTGTGGTTTTATTAATAATTTTATGGTGCCGGCTACACATTAAATTTGAAATTGGTAGGTGAGAGTTTGTTGCAGTAACAAAGTTGATACTTATTATAAAGTATGGATTTCAACTTTACTTGACCCATATCACTTGACATCTAAATCAGAATGATGAATATTTAATGTTGACCAGGAATGACTTAGCTAAAATTACATTCTTACTACGAAACACCAACACTGCAATTGAAGTATTTTAGGTGAACCACCTTTTCAATAATTGAAAATCGATGTTAATTGCTAAGCAAGAAGAATCCAATTTCATTTCCAATAATAGGTTTTTGACTTGATAGAAATAGACGCACATTTATTGAATGCTGGCGAAATTCACTGATAATTTATGAAATGGGATTTCTATTAGAGATTTTATCAATTTCAAGCTTTTAAGCATTCTATTTTCGGCAATAAGTATAATTTTATGTTGTTGGGAAATGTTTAACATTACATAAATAACTTCCAATGATTTAGTCATTACAATAATTCCTTATCTGATCCAATTAAAATATTTTGTGAGTCAACAAATTACAAAATTTTCAAGCACCTTAAATGAGCAATTTTCATTCAAGGTTTTTATGTAATTACTTAATATTTGTTACTCTGATTACTTCTTATCGCAAAAATAACATCGCGTGGATTATTTTGGCTGCTGCTTGATAGCGCTGATTAATGATAGATAATTATCCTGTTATTTTTTGCTGAAAAAATCTTTAATTTTCAAACTTTTTCTCGTACAAATTAGTGTAGAAGCAGAGACACCTGATCTCCATTCTAATCGTTTATATTGTACTAAATTGAGAACTGCCATTTTTTTTCAAGTCGTGGAAGCTTAATTGGCTCTTTTTAAAAAAAGATTTTAGAATTTACAGCAACATATCTTCATTTGAATTCCAACCCAAACAGATTGAACACAACAACTCGAAAAAGCTAATGAAAGTTTTTCAGAATTGAAAGCTACACAATTTTGAAGGAAACATAAATTTTCATTTAGTATTACCAAAGAATTTTCATTGAGAATGCCACAAATTAAAATATTAAGAACGTTAACAAGAAAGTTGGCGGGAAGTCTTAACAAGAAGACTTTACCTTAAGCTTTTAGTTTATAAGGTTATTCATTGGAATTTTTCATTAAAGAAATCGCATGATTTCCTCTAATGAGGATTATTCCTAGTCTGATTTATGATAATCAGCATCCATATTCATAGCTTCTAATCCAAATTGCCTTATCTCGTTCGTCTCTATAATTACCGTAAATACACGATTGAAACATAGAATTTGCCTCAATGCCAGAAGTAATTTCGAATTGCCCATTTAAGACTTGATGGTTCACTTTCCAAATCACATATTTGCGAATTCACTTTATTTATGAGTTAAACTTCTTATTATTTCACATTTGATCTGCTAGGATATTTTCATGTGTTGATACTTCTATTGAGAAATACAAAACGATGCAACATAAATCACTCCACACCTCACACACATCTCATGCGTTCATTTTATTGGCTGAAAATGGGAACAAAAATTGTTCGTAATTTTTCTTGTCTTAATTTCCTCTCTCGTGTCTTGTTATGGTTTTATCTGTAAAATGTGTAGCAATTAAGGATGATGCTTGAATATAAATTTAAGATCAACATATGGTAGATGAACATTTCTTTTTTCACTATATATATATATATGCACACTGGATGTCACTCTTGAAACTCACATTAATTCATTATGCTGTGGTAAATTTTGAGCAGAATATTATGAGTAAAATTATTGATCTAGAAGTATGAATAAGCTAAATTCAGTTTGGCTGAGATTCTAAAATAGTCAACAATTTATCTACAAGGGTGTGAAACTGAAGAATTACATTTTGATCATTTTTGATCAATTTTTTATCATTTTTGATAATTTTTGATCATTTTTTGATCATTTCATCAGTACCCTTGTTTATCCATTGAACAAGAGATTTTGAACCTAAAAATCCTCAATTGGCTTGACCTTTAGCCAAAACTCGTGGGCTGAAGTGGGCTTAAGTTGCTCGTTGGAGGAATGGTTTAGTATTTCGGTACCTAATTATTGCAATACCGACACAGCGATCATGGGTTCGAGGCTGGGTATGAGAAATTTTTCACTTGTCCTTTTTCGAACCATATGTACTGGAAATGAAGCTCACAGCCTTCCTTTGTAGGCTACAGGCAGAAATGTCAGCAAAGGAGTGGTTCAGATCCTACTATAAATTGTAGGCTTAGGTTTTAAGTACAATGATTTGGCGCTTCCTCACTCGTTAAACTCTCATTAGCTGAAAAACGCGCTAGCGCACCTCTGGATCTGAATAGGTAAAGGTTTTTTAAAGCCATAACTCAGTTGGAGATTGTCTTTAAAATTCAATGATAATATTTGAAATTTTTGTAATTTCGAGCTCTATACAATTAAATTCCAAATTTTTATACACTATTTGGTCCGTTTTGAACTCAAATCTTAAGCAATATTCTGCCAAAATTGCCACAATGATTTAAGTACATATCTTTTAATTTTGAATTTTCACTTATATGCGTTTTTTAAATATCTTAATACTTATAACTTTCTTGTTCTTTGTGCTTAACTTTTTAATCTTTTTCTGAGATAAAAAAAAGAGGAAAATCAATAAAAATGAGAAAATTAAATTAATTACGTTTTAAAAAAGCGAAATAAAGATGAAAGAAATATTAAATCAGTTTTAAATGTTGAATAAAAATGAAGAAATTTTTTATGGAAATAAATCTCAATGTCTGTAATCTCCTTGTTTCCTTATTTCTTGATAAAAAATGTCTTGAATTTATAACAAGAAAAAAGAAAAAAATTGAGAAGATATAATAAATTTATTAAGAATTAAAATGTATATTCATAATCATCAATGCAATCATGAAATTTATTATATTGAGTAAGTAAGAAAAAGAAGCATCTTATATTCTTAAATATTGTAATGATAAATGAAAAAATAAAAAAAAAATAAAAATGAAATTTTTTTTGTAAACATAGAAACGGAAGAAGATTTTGTTTGTTATTCTTATTCTTACATTACCCACCAACTAAATTGAGGGGATGATGACAGTCATTCTTTTGCTTTCAGTTACGTACTGCTGAGCACGGCTCACACAAAAACCTCAAATATATTAAATTACAGAGATTAAGTAATTGAGTGTGCAGTTTGTTGACATGAGATGGATACTTTTTGATGTGTTGCTTGATTTAGATGTTACAATAGATATCAGTGATTCCAATCTAGAACCTTAGACAACGAATTTGGATTGAATTACTTCGAAGGAATTACTTGATTTGCATTTTGAGTAATTTTGCCTCACATCATTGAATGGAAAATAACAATTCTACTTAGAATGTGTTTAGGTTCTTGAAGCTATTAAGTATGAGAGTTCTCTGCAACAATCAATTCATCACTATGGTCAGCTTTAATTACCATACATTTATCCAAATAATTAATTATCTCTTTAACTTCAAATGTTGAGAACCGATGATCACGTTAACAAGTACATTGTTTCTTTCTTCTTATACTCAATACTCAAGTGCCTTTATTATAAATTAAAAATTGAACAATATAAATTGATAATAATAATGATTTTTTGCTATAGCGACGTTGAAGATTTATTGAGAATATTACAGCAAGAGTGGCCGGTACAAAATTGCTTTTTCTAATTGTGTATTATTTAGGCAAAGTACTTAAGATATTCAATTCTCAGTGCGAACATTATAGACAAGTTTTTAATTCAATCTTTTTTTTTTCTATGAGTGTAAAACATATCAGCGAGTCTCTTAAGTGTACATAGACAGTGCTTTATTGCTCAAGTCAATATCTTCGTCATCTTCTCTTCATTAACGCTCATATTAATGTGAGCAAATTTAATAGACTTAATCCAAGGAATGGAAAAGGAGAAAAAATAGCATCTCGAGTTTGACTTAAAGAAATTCTAAAGGAATAGTCATGAAATATTGCCTAGTATCGTGTTGGAGTAAAAAAGGTATTCATGTTTTACTTAATTTTATTGATATAATGGATACTTGAAATATGTACGAACCTCTGTAGTTTCTTGATCCGACCATGAATAATTGATATAAATTTAGTTGCCAAAATTAAAGAATTCCAAGTGTCCGCACATTGAGTTCCGTATCAACATACGCAGGAGGAATCAAGCTTCGTATAAATGTTCTAATCTTCTAAGTCCTTGAAAGATTTTTCATTCTTAATGTCTTCATTATTTCTTATTTTCATTTCATCAGTTGGTTAGAATCTGTTGAGAGAATAAGAAGCTCTTGAGATTTGGTGTGTGCCATAAGTGAAGAGAATTTTTAGACATGCAGTTATTATCACTTGTATTGTTTACATTCATCTTGATGATATTTTTCACGGTCGATTGCCAATATACATTTCTTGACACAAAGTTTGGACCGTTTGTAAAAATTGCTCGACTATTCGCATCCGATTTGATAAAGCCAAGAACTTTTGAACTTGGCTATCAAATTAATTTGAGAAATGGTGTAAGTTTTTGTTGTAAACATTTTGGAGATGAAGTAGGAGATGACAAAGAAGAAATTCAAACTTTTATCTTGTAACAATTTCCATTGACATTATTAATGGATATTTTCTACAACAGAAAGCTCAGCAATTATTTAAAGATGATTTCTTCTGTGATGCGAATGGTCCTGGAAGAAGAAGCGAAAGTGTGCCATCGTCGGTTCATAGATTGACCCCAGGTGATATTGATGTTATTGGAGCTATGGGGGATTCTCTTACAGCCGCAAATGGTGCTTTGGCTGTGAATGGTTTGCAAACATTACTTGAGGGTAGAGGAGTTTCATGGTCAATAGGTGGACGAGATAATTGGAGAAAATTCTTAACGCTGCCAAATTTAATTAAGGTCTATAATCCAAAGCTTTATGGCTATTCGGAGGCTGAAAATTCTGTGGGTTTTCAACGTGAAAGTAAATTTAGCGTTGCAGAGCCTGGTAAGTATCTTGTAGCCACAATTTTGAGTCAAGTAATAACATCGAAAAAAGTTGTCTAATTTTAATTAACGTTTAATCCAATTACCCAAAAAGGTGCAATTTCGTTCCATACAATACAACAAGCTAAGAATCTTGTAAAGCGAATGAGATCAGATCCGCTCGTCGATATAAGTAAACACTGGAAAGTAATCACTATAATGATTGGTTCGAACGATTTTTGTTTAGATGTTTGCTATTATGATAATCAAGATAAATTGATTGACGACGCGGAACGGAATATGATACATGTTTTGAGAATCATTCGAGAAAATCTTCCACGAACTTTGGTAAATGTTCTCATACCGGTCGGTAAGTATTTTACTTCTTTACGTATCATAGTGTACAGACTTTTTAAACTTGCCATATAAATCCATTTGATGACTATTGCATAACAAAATGCGATGATGATTTAAATAAACATTGACTTCTTACACTCCCGAGAAGCAATAGTATTAAATGGATATTGATGTTGATATGACTTTTCTTGTAATGATCGGAATGCTTCTAAGGGGCCGTTCACTTATTGCTTAACGCTTTTAGGGGGAAGCGGGAGTCTAAGATTTTGTTACGGTTCAAACAAAAGAAATTTTTTTTCATACAAATTTTGTTATGAGGGGGGGGGGGGGGTCTAAAAAGTCGTTTTTTCGTGTTACGTAATAAGTGAACGGCCTCTAATCACTTCTAATGTCAAGAATCTATACAGCCAGTTCTCACCAAAAAATAAAAAGGGTCGTTCACTTATGACGTCCGAAATTAACGGTTTTCAAAAAATAACAATAGATTTCCTGGAATTTCTATTGTTTATTTCTTGCTTACCCCCCCCCCCCCCCATGGACGTCATAAGTGAACGACCCCTAATGTCTCAATAGATAATATACACAGTTCAAATTATAGATATACTGAAAATAAAACAAAGCTTTTTATAGAAAATTAATGATGCGAAAAAAATTAAATTATCTTTCATTCATAGATGTTGGGCTCCTGTTTACCTTCAAACAAATTTCACCTGAATGTAAAGGTTTTCATTATGCAGAATGCCCTTGCTTGGCAAGCGTAACACAATTCAAAAAAATTAAAAGAACCCTTAGAACTATCAGATTATGGAAGGAGAGAATTGTAAAAGTTGTCGATATGGAAGAGTTTCACAATCGAGATGATTTTGAAGTAAATCTAATTAAGTTTACGAAGAATGCAAGATTGCCAGATGCAAAAAACAACATTACAGATTACACATTACTATCCCAAGATTGCTTTCATCTGTCACAAAGAGGACATAGCTACTTCGCGATGAATTTATGGAATCAAATGTTAACCAAAGAAAATGAAAGACCATCTACAACAAGCTTTAATTATGCAGACTTTAAATGTCCGACTTATGAAAATCCTTACTTTAGAACGAGAAAAAATTAAATAAGGGATTTTAATTGTATTAATTGTTGGTGTTGTTGTTTGATTTATAATCCTTTAAATAACCTTTCAGCATTTTGTGGAAGTTACTTCAAAAGGTCAGTATTAGCTTTAAAATAAATCACGTTAGTATTCTATGGCATGCTGGGTCAGAATGATATTAAAAAATAAACTTTTAGCAAGAAAGTATTTAAAGATTTGGACAGAACAAAACTGCAACGATAATCGTTCACAAATGATGTCAAGTTAAAAATCAATTTTTATATTCACACCAATTCACACCGTTTTCACGTGTGATTTTATTGGTTTTGTTCAGATTGAAAAATCAGTTTTTCGATGAAATATAGCAAGATAGCTTAACATGTTCTAAGAAGAAAAGTTTGTGCCTGAAATTTCACATCTTTTGCAAAAAACAGATTTCAAATTGGTTGCGGCATTGCTGAGAAAATCGCAAAATACGCTTTCTGTAAGCAAGCAAACAAGCAAGTTAATCAGCAAGGAATCTCAACAACGAGACATCGTAGAGACTTCTAGTTTTTTACATTTGATCCGTGCTGCTCTATAGAAGAGCTGTATTGATTTTGGGCAAGGTAGGAACAGCCGTTGCATCAGAAAAAGCAAAAAACTTTCCTTTCTCACGAATTTTTAAAAAAAAAAGTTTACTGTGATTTTTATAAAATTCAACTTTTGACGTTAAGCTTTAGACCTTCAAACTTATGCTGAGCGAAGCTCAGCTGACTTGCTAGCTTTATATCTCAAAACTTATGCTGAGCTAAGCTCATTTAACTTATCAAGCTTCATACCTTAATACTTATGCTGGGCAAATCTTGGTCTATCCATAAGACTTTTGATGGTACGGTGTGAATATAATCCGCATTGGGTTTCTACCCGATACACTAGTCTTTGAATCTTTTTGGATAATTTTTAAGCTTTATCACTTAACTTTAACACATCCTCCTATCTGTCAGACATCACTAGTGAATAACTCCTTTATACACATAAAGTTTAAACTTGTTTCTGTATTGCAAAGTATACAGCAGATTATTCAATATCATTAAGCATCGGTTTTTGAATATTTCGAGTGTTCTTAGTTGGCATATACTTGTAATGCGAATAAGAATTTTTGTGAAAATATGCAGTTCCTACTTTTATTTGTTTTGACAAAAATAGTCTCAATCCATTGTCAACAGACATTTCTTGACGTAAAATTCGGGCCACTCTTGAAAAACGTTCAGATATTTATGGTGGACTTATTAAAACCCAAAAATTTTGAGCTTCAATATACAATTAATATGAGGAATGGTGTGAGTACTCATCCACATGTATGAGCTTGTGTATGAAGAAGCAAGCCATAGAACTTTTGGTTACCTTAAATTAACTGATTTTAATTTTAGAAAACGCAACCAATTTTCGACGGTCCTTTTTTCTGTCCAATTGATGGTCCTGGAAAAAGAAGTGAATCCAGACCAGCATCTGTACACAGATTAACACCGGGTGATATTGATGTAGTAGCAGCTATGGGAGATTCACTTACAACTGCTAATGGTGCTCTTGCTAATTATGAACTACAGACAGCTTTAGAGTATAGAGGAATTTCATGGTCAGGTGGTGGAATAGACAACTGGAGAAGATACATAACATTACCAAATCTAATTAAGGTATACAACCCAAATGTCTATGGATATTCAGAATTTCCATTTTCAATGGGATATCAACGAGAGAGTAAATTTAATGTTGCAGAACCAGGTATTGTATTTTAATTGTCTATCCAACTACAACGAATGACTATTCTATAACATACAATTGATGGACTTTATAAAGGTGCACTTACGAGTGACATATCACTTCAAGCAATGAACCTTGTAAAACGAATGAAATCTGACATCAAAGTTGACATAAGAAGTCATTGGAAGTTAATTACCATAACAATTGGTGCGAATGATTTCTGTTCACAAGTTTGTTTCTATGATGATCAAGAAAAATTAATTAAAGACGCAGAAAGGAACATAATCCATTCATTGAGAATTATTCGCGATAATCTTCCACGTGCATTATTGAACCTTGTAATACCGTTTGGTAAGCTGCTATTAATAGATGTAGTCTGCTGAAAATTATCTTTGCTTAAATTAATTTTCAATATTTAAAATAGACTATAAGAAGTCAATCCATGCTGTAAAGTTCAGCCAAAAATAAATAAGCGCAAAATTAATCGCTTGAAAACTTGAATTAAAATTTATTTTTAGATGTTGGGTTGCTCCTCACCTTTAAACAAGTTCCACGTAATTGTAAAGTTTTTCATTATGCAGAATGCCAATGCTTGAAAAGCCTAACACAATTTAGAAAGATCAAAAGAACGATGAAAACAATAAAAATTTGGAGAGATAGAATAGCTCGAATCCCCGACATGAAGGAATTTCATTACCGCGATGATTTTGAGATTAATTTAATAAAGTTTATCAAGGATATGCGATTCGCAGAGACTAGAAATAATAAAACAGATTATTCATTCTTCGCTGAAGATTGCTTTCATCTTTCTCAAAAAGGACAGAGCTATTTCGCAATGAATTTATGGAATCAAATGTTGACTAAAGAGAGTGAAAGACCTTCAACAGCAAGTTTTAACTATGCAGATTTTAAATGCCCAACTTATGAAAATCCATATTTCCGAACAAGAAAGAATTAAATTAATAAATAAAACTTTAAATATATGCAGGTAGCTCACAAGTAATTTAAAGTATTGTAAAAAAATTAACGGTTGTTAAAATTTCAAATTTGTAGCTCAATTGCGATGGGGGGTAAAATCCCCGAAAGATATTAATTCCACGATTCTGTGGGATAATAACCCCGAAAATCGCAAATTTTTAAATGTTCCATGCGGGATATATCTCCCAGGTAGATAATAATTTCACTTACATTTCTAAGTGGGATTATCTTTATTATTATCTTTATGGAACACGATTAAAATTATGGAATAAATTAAATCCAAAAACTTATTTGTCATAGTGGATAATAATTCCACTTGTATTAATAAGAGGATTTATTATCTAATAGGATTTTCATCCAAAAAAAAATCCCACTTATTAATTTCATTTCCAATTTCATTATTCCAAAAACTTAAATAAGAAGAAAACATTAATATTGGTTGAATGTTTAAGTTGAAAACTTGGTTTTTTTATGCCTTTTGTAAATTTTCTAAAAGCCTAGTGCCTAGATGTTTAATGTATCAAAGATCTATTCATTCAAAAAATCATATTCACACAAAATTTTCAATTTTTTGTTTTTGCAAATAGTTTTGAAATAGTCTTTCAAAATTTAAAACGTGCGGAACTAATAAATCACGTTTTTATAATTTTTGTCATTGGGGCCGTTCACTTATTACGTTACGCAAAAAAACGACTTTTTTCTCCCCCATCCCCCCCCCCCCCCCTTGTTTCAATATGTTACAACTCACAACCCCCCCCTTCCCCCCCCCTCCCCCCCCCCCTTGTTTCAATATGTTACAACTCACAACCCCCCCCCCCCCCCCTTCCCCCCCCCCCCCCCCCCCCCCCCTCCTGAACGTTCATAATTTATGACTGAAAATCATGCTTTATACTTATATGATTAGATAAACATACTTTGCAGTCATCAGGTACGAAAGGAACCGATTAGTTCCGCAAAAAATTTTTGACTTCAAGAGGTGATTCCTTTTTGGAAAAGCAACAAAAAAAATTTTTGTGGATGTAAAGGAACTAGGCAGTTCAAGTGCCTATTCTTGCTTATGACTCATTAAAAAAACTTAGATTACTTTAGTACTGTAATAAAAGACATTTAAGATTTTAAAAGCAATGAAAGCAGGTAGTTCCTCATATAGAGTAAGATCCAGGCTTGCTTGATGAAGTCAAGTTATTTAAATGTAAGCAGCAAGGTACAGAAGATTAAAAATCACGAATTGGATTTCGTATAAGTCAAACAGCATGGAACCATTGGTTGCTGTAACCTTTATTAAAGAAATGATTGGATCTAAAAGATCCAGTTGCAAGATTCTGTCCGAAAAAGGATCAACTGCATTCTTACTTTTTGAGGAACTGCAACTGAAAACTGTTGTTTTAAAAACAATTTGAGAAATTGCATACAAACATTTTGTATGGAGGGATTTTAAAATCCCAAAAAAAAATCTTTCATGCAAGAGATTTAAATCAAAATCCCAAAAAAAAATCCCTTTGAAAAATGATTTAAATCAAAATCCCTTTTAAATCATTTTTCATTGAGATTTAAATCAAAATCAAAAATAAATTCTGCGATTTTGATTTAAATCGCAAAAAATCTCCCCACCCTGGCTGTAGCATTGATGGGAAAATCACATAATACGTAAGCAAACAAGCATCAAGGCAAGTAAATCAGCCAAAATCTCAATAACGAGGCATCTCAGAGACTTCTAATTCTTGCCTTTGATTCTTGCTGCGTTTAAAAGGATAAGGCTTTATTTTTTTATTGGGTAAGGTAGAAACAGCCATTGCTTCCAAAAAAGCAAAAAACCCTGCATCCTCTATCCTGCATCATGTGAACTCAAATTTTGCCAATGGTACCGTTCACTTATTACGTTCGCATTTTAGGAGGGAAGGGGTGGGTTGAAAAATTGGAACAAAATATCACAAGGGGGGGGGGGGGGGGGGTCAAGAAGTATGTAACGTTCTAACTGTCGGGAGGGGGGGAGAAAAAAGTCGTTTTTTTGCGTAACGTAATAAGTGATGACAAATGACAAAAATGATAAAAACGTTATTTATTAGTCCCGCACGTTTTAAATTTTGAAAGACTTTATTTCAAAACTATTTGCAAAAAACAAAAAATTGAAAATTTTGTGTGAATATGATTTTTTGAATGAATAGATCTTTGATACATTCAACATCTAGGCACTAGGCTTTTAGAAAATTTACAAAAGGCATAAAAAAACCAAGTTTTCAACTTAAACATTCAACCAATATTAATGTTTTCTTCTTATTTAAGTTTTTGGAATAATGAAATTGGAAATGAAATTAATAATAGGATTTTTTTTTGGATGAAAATCCTATTAGATAATAAATCCTCTTATTAATACAAGTGGAATTATTATCCACTATGACAAATAAGTTTTTGGATTTAATTTATTCCATAATTTTAATCGTGTTCCATAAAGATAATAATAAAGATAATCCCACTTAGAAATGTAAGTGAAATTATTATCTACCTGGGAGATATATCCCGCATGGAACATTTAAAAATTTGCGATTTTCGGGGTTATTATCCCACAGAATCGTGGAATTAATATCTTTCGGGGATTTTACCCCCCATCCTCAATTGCTCAGCTGAAGAAAATCACAACAAATGGTAAGGAAAAAATTCTTGAATAGTTAATTATCATTTTTTTACGATTATCCCTGACATTCAGCAAAATGTATATGTGGAATACTTCATCTTCATCCTCGGGAACTCAAAGAACATTAAATTCTAACGTAATTATTATAGTTTCGTGTATTTTTTGTGTTTTGAGCTTTTTCATATCTCACGACTTTTTTAATTCGAGATAAGACCATATTATTTTGACACCAATTCGGCATTTTCCTTCTTTTATTTATAGCCGCAAACACCAACTCAATTAGATGAACAAGACAAGCTTCTTAGTGAAGCCCTTGGTGTCGTCCGAAACCAAGCGATATTAATGAAAAGAAATCTGGACAAGAATCGCTTAATGGATGGACTTAAATGTGCAAGTACGATGCTTGGAGAGTTACGAACTAGTTTGTTATCACCAAAAAGCTACTATGAACTGTATATGGCAGTGACCGACGAACTCCGTTTTCTGGAAGTTTATTTATGTGACGAGTTCCAAAAAGGACACAAAATCACTGATTTATATGAACTTGTTCAATATGCAGGAAATATTGTTCCTCGTCTCTATTTACTTATAACTGTCGGTCTGGTATACATCAAGTCAAATCCAGCAACAAAGAAGAGTATAATGAAGGATTTAGTTGAAATGTGTCGTGGAGTTCAAAATCCATTACGTGGATTATTTCTTCGTAATTATCTACTTACACTCCGTAACATTCTACCTGATTCTCCACCGACTAAGGATGATGAATGTGGAAATGTACATGACTCGATTGATTTCATCTTGACAAACTTTGCTGAAATGAATAAATTGTGGGTTCGGATGCAACATCAAGGACATTCAAGTGAAAAATCAAGACGTGAGAAGGAACGTGAAGAATTAAAAATTCTCGTTGGCACCAATCTCGTTCGTTTGTCTCAACTCGATTCAGTAAACTTGGAAATTTATCAGAAAATCATTTTACCAAGTATCTTGGAGCAAGTTGTCAGCTGTAGAGATGCAATTGCACAAGAATATTTAATGGAGTGCATCATTCAAGTATTCCCTGATGAATTTCATCTTCAAACGTTAGATCCATTCTTGAAATCGTGTGCTCAACTTCAATCAGGCGTGAACGTTAAATCAATCATAATTTCATTGATTGATCGACTTTCTGCTTATCATCAACGTCATGAGAAATCACAACCAGATTCAACGAGTGATGCTTCAGTAATTCCAATTGATGTTCAGCTATTTGATGTATTTAGTGTTCAGATTGAAAATATCGTACAGATTCGCACTGATATGCCATTGGAGGATACAATCTCATTACAAGTTGCTCTGGTTAATTTAGCTCAGAAGGTGTATCCAGATCAAATTGATTATGTTGATAAGGTTCTTGAGACAACGACTCAAATTTTAGAAAATTTGAATATGTCATGTATTAATCAGTCACTCACAGTAAATCAAGAATTGTCAAGATTGTTAAGGATTTGTATTGATTTTTACAATAACATTCTCACAATTTTGAATCTGAAGTATTTCCCAAAAATACTAACCAAGTTTGATTATCAATCAAGAAAGAGTCTGTCACTTTACTTGGTAATGAATATATTGGACAATGAAACCTTAATTCCAACTGATGAGCATGCTGATAATGTTCTTGAGATGTTATCACCATTAATTAAGGATCAAGAAGATCAGCCAGCAGATGGTCCAGATGCAGATGATTTTGCGGAAGAACAAGGAATTGTTGGACGGTTTATTCACCTATTAAAGTCTGAACATCTTGATATGCAGTACAAAATTCTACAAGTTGCCCGAAAGCATTTTGGCTCAGGTGGAACTCAAAGAATCAAGTATGTCCTGCCATCACTCGTATTCCAAGCATTTCAACTTGCTTACAAATACAAAGCAATTGCAGCTGAGGATGAAAATTGGGATAAAAAGTGTCAAAAGATTATTCAGTTCTGTCACACAACAATTACTTCGATTGCACGAGCCGAACTTCCTGATTTGGCCTTAAGATTATTCTTACAAGGTGCATTATGTATTGGAAAAATTGGTCAAACCAACTATGAAGCTGTTGCCTATGACTTCATGACACAAGCATTTTCAATCTATGAAGATGAAATTTCTGATTCCAAGTCACAACTTGCAGCAATAACGTTGATAATATCGACTGTTGAGCAAATGACATGCTTTAGTGAAGAAAATGCTGAGCCATTGAGAACAAATTGTGCATTGGCTGCATCAAAACTACTTAAAAAGGCTGACCAATGCAGAGGAGTTGTAACATGTGCAAGCTTATTCTGGAGCGGTAAGAAAGACAACGAAGAAATGAGAGATGAAAAGAGAACACTTGAATGCTTAAAGAAAGGTGCTCGAATTGCCTCACAATGCTTGGATATTAATGTCCAAGTTCAGTTATACGTTGAGTTGCTGAATAGCTATTTGTATTATTTCGAACGAGGTAATTCGCAAATTACTGTTTCCATGCTTAATCAGGTAACTAGCTCAATACTAATTTTTATGGACAATTTTATTAACTTTTGAAATTATCTTACAGTTAATTACAAAAATTAATGAAGAACTTCCAAATCTTGATAAATCAGAGGAGACGAAGCAGATTGAAAGACATTTTAACAATACTTTGGCACACATTAAGAGCAGAATGGAGTCTAATTTGGAGATATCATTTGCTGGAATAACAATTTAATTAAAATCTTTTTAAAGTGTACGTCCTCAACTTGTTATTTATATATTCAGACTTTATATTATATTAATCTGTGTTTATTTTATAATTATTCCAATTAGTTTTTACCTAAAATAACAATACGCAATTCTTTTTATTAGATTATCAAAAATTTATTTCAATTCATTTATTCTTTGTTTTTTGTAAAACGAGAAAGATCCTAATACATATACATAAAATGGTACATAAAGTTTTACTCAAATACATCATCGTTTTGTTTTACTCTTTTAAATCATTTTTCGATGCTTTTACTTTTCATTTGATCATATTCATATTTTGTAAATAAATTTGAACACAAAATGTTATTTATTTTTTAATATAAGATTTTAGCATAGGCAGCAATTGTGCACATCAAACTTTACACGAACATTATTATTAGGAGAAGAATTGATCAAAAACTTGATTTAACAGTTGAAATTAATAAATTTTGATTTTCAAATTTTTGCACATTAATTTTAAGTTTTTGGATCAATGGCATGAAATTCAAGTTTCAATTTATAGACACAAATATAAAATCTGCATTTGTGACTTCATCATTTCAAATATGTTTATGAATTAAAATTCAATTAAGATTTAGAGTTCGACACTTTGACCCTAAAACAAATATCAAATGCGCATTGGATACAGAAAATTTTGAATTATTCAAATCGAGTTATTAGTGATCAATTAGTTCGCATACATTTTTGAGGACACAAATATTTTGAATCAATGAAGGGCAGTAGAGTAAGAGTGCGCTAAGAGATTATTTAATGGATGAATTATCAATACGTAATAATTTTTTTTTATAATGAACAGATTAATAATCGTTTAAAATCCTAAACAACTAGAAGAACACTATAAATTAAATAAAACATCTATATCGATCTATAGTTGGGATTCAGAGACAAAAATAATGAACAATACGGTTTTTTATCATCATCATTTAACATATTTGACATCAATTCAAAAATGCTCTATTAGCAAATGTCAATTGAATAAAGCAATAATTTGTTGCTTATAGAAAAATTTTCATACTTTTCTTATTAACGAATGGTAATAAAAATAATAATAATAATAGTAATAACTTTTTTTCATTAATTAGTTGGCACATTGAATTAATTATTTTTTTTTTGCATTTATGCTGTTTTGTGCTTTAAAATCCTTCATTATTTCATTATTAACTTGACTTGACTTGCATTAATGCACCCATATCACTTTTATAAGAACACTTTACTTTAAACTCTGTTGCTGCGCTTCATATGTGATCTAACTTTTCTAGCTTGTTTTCTATCATGATGATCAGCCATAGCTGCAATCACGTAATCTTCAATACCACACTCATTTGTTCCTCTTGCAATACGGAAGAAACCGTCTGTAATGGTAATTTTTATTACATAAAATAAAATCATGATGTTCATGAAATGAAATCAGAACTTACTTTCACCCCACCATCTTCCCCAGCTGTTAGCTGCAATCCAATATTTTGCAGTTTGATATCCATTGCTCTCTTCTCCCCATCCGATGAGACGAACTGAATGGAAGCCTTTGGGTTTTTGATCGACAAATTGAGATTTACGATAAATGCCCGAACGATAGGTAAAGAAATCTGGATAAACCCACATAGTGGCTGTTTTGTGATGGAATAAGATGAGAAAACAAAAAAAAAAGAATTCAAATTTAATGGATATGATGATTCAATCTTCTTTGCGTTATATTATTTATATTTTTTTAAATAATGCGTTTTGGGAATATTTTTGATATGTCTGACTATTCAGTAGAAAAATATTGGGAAGCCTGGAAATGAATTTTATAGTAAGTCGCTTTCGAAAAATGCGCTTTGAACTCAATACCAATCAATCTTTAATACACAGTAAGTGCATCAAACAACAAACCTTGAACTGGTCCATAAGTAGAAATTTCCCACATAATATCAGTTTCGTTATTCAATGAGTATGCGGGTCCCATCTTAAACAAGGATTCTCGTTGATTGTTTGGTAACTTGCAGCCCATTGTTCTGAGATTATCACTCTTTTTAGCAAGACAACGTCCGACTGCTGATTCATATGGGTAGCATTCATCGTCTGCAACACTATATAAAAAAGTTTCTAGATCATATTTCATGTTTAAATGCATTATTATGCTGAGTTCCTACCCGACACGATTCAAGTATCTCCATGCATTATCCAAATGACCACCTGTACAGCCTTGTTGATGTCTTACACATGAAAGTAAGTTTTGGGATGAGAGATCTTGGCTTTCTTTCAAGTTGATTCCAATACGATCTGATGCAACGGAAGCTGTCGAGACTGCCCATGATGAGCCGCACCATCCTTGATCATGAATTTCTGAAATAAATTCTCTCCATTCTTCATGTTGAGCTGAATTGAAATGTCTTGGAAGTTGATCAGCGTTATGTCCCAAACGACTCATTGATTTGACTTTAACTCTTGGTTCAAATGTTCCCAAACGATAAGTTAAGCCTTCCTTCAATTTCTTTCCGTAAAATTCTGTGTAGTTATAAGATTTCCATCCCAATTGAGAACCGTGACTGTTTACATCTCTGATTAAATCTGTGTCTGATAAACATTCGTCTTGCTCACATTCATAATGACCTTTGGCTCTACATTTGCTGAGGATTTAATAAAAGATTTTAGAGCTAGAAGTGATGAGTGATAGGATAAATTAATTTTTACCATAAATTACAGTTGACTTTGCCTTCTTCAAATTCTTTTATAATAACGTCACCAACTTCACATGTGTAAGTGATTGGATCGGATACGATCCCTTTACAAACTGGCTCATAATCAGGGCAACAATCTAAATTAAATAAAGATGATATGAATTTTAAGCTTAAGATTTTACAATTAATCATATACCTGGATTAATATGTTGATCACAAAACTCATCACAATAGCACAGTGTACCTGGAAATTAAGCCATTAGCTTTAATTTAATAATCATGTAAAGAATGAAAATTACCAGCAATTGGAACTGAGCATTCATCTAATCGATCGTTACAGCACGTGTTTTCTCTATTTCTACTTCTGGTTGCACAAAAACTCTGACCCGCAAAATCATCAAAATATCTTTTCTCTGTTGTAAATTGTTGACCAAATGAAGATGATACAATAAATACCGACAAAATCACCAGTGACCGAATCATGGCGAAGGACTATTAAATGCTGTATACAAAAAGAAATAAAATATACAAATTAGCAATTTAACAAACATTATAACTCGAATATTGAATAGAAATGGTCACTAATCGTGCATCAAATTTACTTCTCAACCTTATTTGCCCACCAACGACTTGTGACAACGACGGAGAGAAAACGCGTTTTGACACTTTTGCTGGTTGAATTAAAATGAATTTTGCGTAAAAATTTCTATTGTAAATAATTGTTTTGGGCTTGGATTCCGAGCAGTATAGAGCTAGTTGTTGGATGCTGGGGTCATATCATGGTTTTGGAGAGTCTTTCAAAGTGGAATCTGTATCCTTTGATAATAAACGGTTAAATAAGCAGTGAGAATTTTTAAAACGAAGGATCATTTTGTTGCTATGCTCTTTAATCGAACTCAATGCATGCCTGCATAAATTTTGAAGGAATAATTCGATTTTCACCGTTCCCAAATATGAAATATACATTTTCTTCAATCCTAAGCTCCTAAACCCCAAACTAGAACAATTAAACTATAATCCCACGTATATCCCTAATTATTTGCAGAGTGTAAATTTAGTTCTTGACGACCACAAGCATTCATTAAATGCATAAATTAAAGTCACAATTTACACCCAAAATGATTCATTCACATCTCAACCACAGCTGCCAGGTGCCACTCGGGAATTTTTTACGAGTCTCACAAGCTTGATGTTTTCTTTTTCTTCTGCCTAATTTTTTTTCATAAACACAGTCAGTCCACCAACGCATTCCAATAACAGTTGGAATATTGTATAGAGGCGAAAGTTTTATTTTTAATACCTTTCAGACATTATTATAATGAGCGATAATTTAACACCTTTTCATTAATTCTGCTATGAGCGAACTTTTTTTTGTGCGAATCTAATTTTGGAACTGAAAAGACATTAAGGAATTTAGATGGGTGAGAAAATAAGAAGACTGATGATGAGAACATTTTTTTTTGCACAAATGACAATCATTGAAGTCTTTAGATTTTGTGTTTACACAAAAGTCTGTACAAATAATGTGTTGACGCCCGTAAGTGTAAATACGTTCGGTAGTTAGAAGTATTCCTTTGTTTTAAATGCGGACTTGATCGAATTGTCATGTTCTTAGAATGTATAATTAATGTTAATTTAACAACAAATACACGCGTCAGATAAATCTACATTTTTCCTATTCAGCTATGACCTAAATAATCCATTAGACAAATGCAGAGAGCTGCGCATTATAATTTAATAAAAAATCATAATGTGCAATATTATCTATCTGTGAATGACTCGCGGCAGATTTGGTTCATTTACTTTGTAAATAAAAGTGCTCTTAAATTAAACTGCATGTGCCGCCAGCCGGCAATAATAATAAATTTTCTATTTGGACTTTGGTTAGATAAATTAATTTTTGGTTTGAATTCCTTAAATAGCATTGGCAATGCATGAAGCGCTTTTTGAATTTTAAACTGATTTTGAGCATCCCTGCAGGGCCTTGACCAAAATGATATAAATTATGTGATTGAACTGTTATAATCTCTCAAATAATCTTGCAAATGGATCCACCGTATGAACTTATAAATTATTATCGAGATCCTTTCTCGACCGACTTGATATGAAGCCAGCCAACAAACAAAGTGAATAAAATCTAAACAATTTAAGACTTAATCAGCTCAATATGGCAACAAACTTATTTTTTTATAGTCAATCATTTGTAATAAATCCAACACCTCATCTAAGTCTCACTTTCAATAGCAATAATCCATCATAATAATATCATACAAATAAATAGAAGCTCTCTGACATTAAATTGTGATAGAAGTCTATTAATTTCATGCTTAAGTATCGCTTCTATAGCCGTCTCAAATTACTAATTTGCAAATAGTAATAATTCTTCAAAAATAGTATTTAGCATATTCTATTGACCTTTTATGGAAATAAATTTGTTATTTGACTTATTAGAATATTTTGTCATAGATGGACATAAATATCGCAGACATGTCAATTAATAAAAGAATTTATATTGATATAATTTTAGCAGACACATTTTTGTGTCTTTAGACACCTTTTGCGACCGGCAGTTCTAATCTTTGATTTATGGTATCACTATTTCCTTATTGTTATTTTTTGTGGAAGTCGTTCACATTTTCTTTATCACCAGTTGTCAAAAACTGACGAGTCGTAGCTTTATATGTGGTGTTTTTAAAACTCAAGTGTCATTTAAAGCAAAATAAGGTCATCGTCGGTAAAATTATTGAGTTAATAGCTGATTAACACTTAAATATTATTTTTAGTGCATTACTGTATCTCGTTAGCTTTGCATTGTAAGAAGAACTCTCTCGCTAATTTAATAAATGACTGTAAATTTTTGCATCGTTAGAAGTTTTTTGATTCATTAAGAAAAATTAGCAGAAAATTGAAAGTCGTGATTTGAGCATTATTAAGTTTGAATCTGGTTATTAAAGATAAATTTATATCGAGTCATATTGTAGACCAATAAACATTTAAATATTATTTTGACTTCCAGTCCATATGAAGCATAACAATACCTTCATTTCCATTGATTATCAATAAAAGCGCTATAATAATCCTCAACAATCAATTAATCTCTCACTCGTATCTTTCTTAAATCTACCGGCGTCATGATCATCTAATTTGCTTAATTTGTCGTCTGCCACTGAATAATGTTGTCGATCCACTTGATTCAGACACACGTGAGCGTCCACAAGTGCCTATTTGAATAAGCTTCTATAATTAGTTTTAGTCAAAGTGACGAATCATGTTATTTATAATTAAAATAAACACTTCACATTGTGCATTTCTTTTACATGCCGACAACATTTGACTTGAGTTAGCTGCATACTTGACTAAAAGGATTTATTGTTCAATTAACCTTCTTTCTTCAATTAGAAGCCACACTGCAATATGAATATTTTTGCGATGATACCATCCTCATATTTTTATATATCAATACTGTTATATTGTTGTTGATTGTTTATTTGTTGTCAGCTCGTTATGAAGTATGTGTCATTTCGAGTAAGTTATATTCAGTCATTGTGTCAGTGTCGATATGATATAATAAAACCAACTGTGTGACTTCTTTCAATTTACGATTGACGTAAATTTTTTCGTGTTGTTGCGAATATTTTGATCATCGATAAATAAACAATGAAAGATCCGGACTTTGTGGATTGTGAAGATGCTTTGACTATTCATCACCATAAATCTTTTGTCATTTTGTAATATTTTGGATTGTTCTTTATTATTCACAACTTTAAGTTACTCGGTATATCCTTAAATCAAAAATTGGTGTACTGAACTCGATGGTTTATGTGAAAATTTACTGTGACTGGTTTTAAGGGACCACAAGTAACCCTAGAAATCGGCTCCTTAAAGCAACTTACTGCCGTTACAGAAACAAATTTAAATTAAGCTCAATAAAACGTTAATCCATGTGATCAAGTGTGAAATATTTTGTTTCTCTCCTGCCGAAAAGATGAACAAGAAGAAGTTTAAAAATATCTTTGGAGGAGTACAAAAAATCAAAATTTATTTAAATCTTTCGGATATGATTCAATGAACTTGACTCTTTTCATTCGTATACCAAAAGAACTTTAAATTCAGTTTTTTATGACTCTTATATTACGATGACCGTTTGCTGATAGAATAGACATTCTCGATGATAAAGGAATTGATTGAAATTATGGTAATTAAGTAGATTATTAATTTTTTGTTATCCATAACACAGCAGAAATTAATGTCGTCATGCTGGTCGAAAGATAAAAATAATATGCTTTTGATGTGTCCATTTTTTAAGACAACATCTCCTTTATGTTCTTAGAATCTTGATCTTTTTGAAAATGATGGCATTGAGGAAGCACACGTGATGTGAGGAACATGCTTAAAATTGTGCTACGTATGGTTTAGAACGCTTTTTGTAAATATTTTCTCAAGTTCAACAATTTTGGCGGGAAAATGAAAATCTCATTGATCATAAATTTACATCTGTTTACAAAAGCTTCAACTGACTGACATGTAAATTATATGTTTGTTACAGGTTCAATCATATGTTCTTTGAAATATTAATTACATAATTGACTTACATGTAAACATCCAGGCAACAATTCAAAAAGTAAATTTAATCCAGAAAACCCATAGGGTCGTTCACTTATGGTGTCCAAAATTAACGATCATTTTTCAAAAAAAGAACAATGGATCTCCAGGAATTTCTATTGTTCTTTCCTTGCTGCCCCCCTGGACGTCATAAGGGAACGGCTCCCAACTCACTCAACAATATAATCGGATTTAGAAACACAGCTGAACAAGTCACACATGTGCGTGTTTAAGCAAAAAAAAAATATGTTGTGAGAAACCGCATTTATTTATTTTGTCGAGTATTTTTACTCACTTGCTGCCACTGTTCCTTCTTATTGTATTGTTTGTAATGTTGTATTTCAAGATCAGTGCCAAGATTATTTAAGAAATAAATCAATTCGCTTTAAACTTTTCTTTTCCGTAAATTCATTTTCATTTTGCGATCCAAAAAAGACGAAATAAATTGCAAAAAGTTTTATGTGCAGATCGTGGTTGATCGGCAAAAAATTAATCGTAAATAAATAAGCCATTTATGAGCTCAATTTAAAATAAGACAATAAATAATTGACTTGATGGTATGCCAATACATGACACCAACAATCATGATGATGACCATTTAAAATTATTAACAACTAAAAATAAGGCAAAGACTAAAGAAGAGTATGACCAAGCGTAATGATGACATCGCGAGAAATTTATTCAAATGGCGAAATTCTGACTCATGTAATGAAAGATTCATTGTTTATTTGTATACATGAAGTAATCTTGCTTGCTAAAAGATATCTTATACAAACAAAAAAAATTGCACTTGAAATGATTGTTTCATTTTGTAATTTTTAAATGAGAAGGTGAGGTAACGAATGATTGATGATGTAGCAAGTTAAGCGAAATAAATGCATACAAATATCACTCAATTAA